GGGGGGGGGGAGGGGGAGGGCATCGACGAAGGTAGCCACGTTGTTATCGCGGTCGTATTGAAAATTATCGACCGGGCCGTTCACGGGGGCAGCGCGTCTTTTTACGAGTTCCCGTACGAGTCGCGCGTCACGTTAAAGCAACGGTTCGTCGAGATCGATCGATAGTTAATTTTGCATATTCCCGATGCGAATTTCCGATGAGGGACGCACACCGGCACGACTCTCGACGACCGGCGGATTTACGCGCGCTGGAAACGAATGAAACTTGAGCGCGAGAATATCGGCTACCGGAAAAACCGTTCGGTTTCCTGCTTCTAGCGATGAGTTGAAGTTCTTCCGGCGAACCTGACAGAAAGGAGCGACAAGCGGGAAGAATCGCGGGATTTATACCCGTATAACGCGCGATAGCTCGGCACGCAGGCACGAAGCCGCCGCGCGACATGTGATACACGCGCGAAATATTCCTCGTTAGGCAACGCACTCGGACAGATACGAAGAAATTGTACGGTTAATTCGTACGCCGCGCATTACCGCGCCGCGCGCGCCTACTATGGTAGCCGGCGAGCCATCGAATTTTACGAGGTTGCCCGAGCTAGCGAGTTAACGGGGTGTTAACAAGAGCAGCAATACTCGCGCGCGCGACTATCGTGCGCTTAAACTACGTAAACGTAAACGGGCCTTTACGAGCTTTCGAGTCGGCGTAATCTGAGGTTTAGAGTCGCGCATAAATACGCGCGCGCGACGTGTCCGTAGTGAGGAGTAAACGATCGTGGATCCGTCGCGCGGAACCGGAATGACAGGCCGAACATCGCGGGTGACCACCGCGCGCAAAGTCGGGACGGACTTTCGCGTGAGTTTGCGAAGCCCGCGATTCCCGAAGTTTGCGCGACGAAGAATCTTCTTCGCCTCGTCCGATCGAACGGTCGGATCGATCGTCGATCGATATATCGAGGATCGACGATCCGACAACGCGCAGCTCGCTTCATTGTGTCCGTCGCGTCTGACCTCCCGATATTTCACACGTCACGTGCCTCCGCCGACGCGAAATCCCCGTGCACCCCCCCCCCCCCC